GGGCAGAGCAAAAGCAGATCATCCGTGTTTGCAGTAGTGATGTGTCATGTGCAAAAGCATCGGCCTGAACTCTGGAGGCTGGAGCCCTTTCGTATCTTGTTCCTGCTCCGTGCAGTGTACGACATTCTTCCATCACCAACAAACCTCCACAGATGGGGAATGAGGGAGGACCCACTGTGCAGACTATGTGGAGGGAAAGGAACCATGGTGCACATACTGGCAGGATGCAAGATTGCTCTTAGCCAGGGAAGATACAGATGGCCTCATGACAAGGTCCTCTGTGCACTGGCTGACACCTTGGAGCGGGAAAGAATGAAGAAGTGGCAGACCAAGAAGAGACCTATATCATCCATACAGTTAATCAGGGAAGGACAGAAATCACCAGCCCCCAAGAGAAAGGCCTTCTCCAAGCAGCACAATCGTGGAATATGAAAGTGGACCTGGGAAGGAGACTCGTCTTCCTTTAGATTATGCAAACATCGCTGAGGCCTGACTTGGTCTTGTGGTCAGAGGAGTTCAGAGGCATTTCTTAACTTAAATTAAGAAAATGCACTATATACACAAACGCGAGAAATCCGTCTCTCACCATGACCCATGAACATGAAATGAAAGAACAGTGACATACATATACTTCATGAGAAACAGCCTAGGCTATGCAACAAAAATAGGATTGTGATATAAAATGTTAGATATGAGGAAGGTATGTTAGCATATAGAAACATAACACATAGGGTGAAGTATTGATTTCTACATGACTGATTAGTCCTGGGCTGCAAGTTGCTTCAGTGGTTAGCACTGCCGTCTCACAGCAAGGTCGCCGGTTTGCGTCCTCGTGAGGACACCTGGGATCTTTCTGCAGTTTGCATGTTCTCCCTGTGCAGTGTGGGTTCTCTCTGGGTTCTCTGGCTTCCTCCCACAAGGTCCAAAAACACGTCGAGGTTAATTGGTGATTCTAAATTGTCTGTAGGTGTGAATGTGAATGTGCTTGGTTGTCTGTCTCTAAGTGTAGCCCTGTGATAGACTGGTGACCTGTCCAGGGTGTCTCCTGCCTTCACCCTAAGTCAGCTGGGATAGACTCCAGCCCCTTTGCTACTCTAGTGAGGATTAAGGGGTTGAGCTGGAGGCCAGTGGTTGGCCATTACTGCCAGACCCACCAACTGGAGGGCGTTGTGGTTTAGGGTCGAAACACCCAATGAAAGTTGGACACCACTTCTCCTGGCCAAAAGCGGCAGTCATGACTGAAGTATGTAGCATCCTCAAAGATGTATTCAACAGTAAGTTTCAAATCTTATGCACTGACCAAGCTGTTCTGACTGCAGGGGAAAGGTTGTTCCACAGTTTTGGGGCTGAAACAGTAAAAGCATAGTCCTGTGTCAAGTCTTGCTGCTGTGCAACCAGCAGGATTGAACAGGGCTGTTATTGTACTGATTGAAGTTGAGGTATTGATCACAAACAGCTCTCGTGTATCTGTCTGAGGCTGTATGTTTGTTGTTCGTGATCCAAGGTGGGGACGCGTTCATATTTTATGAAGTCTGTTATAGCAAAACTAAATGACAGCCAACTTTGCTTTGTAGCAGGTCAGATTGCAGATTGTGATTCCGCAGACAGGGACCACACAAAAGCCTTTCATGAGACGAATGTTCTCTGACACAGACGACTGAATAAGGAGGAGGTTAACTTGACATTACTTACATGTTGATCTCTTTGTCATCTCTTATCCCAGCAGCACAGCTCCAATGGCTCCAATGGCAGTCCTTAAATGTAGTATTATCGCCACCGCCTGGAAAGTGCTGGGTCTCCCTGCATGTCTGGATTTTATGTGAAACAGCTGCTTAGAATGGAAGAGTGGAATCATCCAGGTATTTCTGCACATCTGGGTTACTCAGTCCCTCACCACGGTGACAACAAACAACCAACACTGTTTTTTTTTGTATTATTTATCTTGCATAAACGTTGTGAACCAATAAACTGCGTGTCTCATAACAGGGACAGCAGCCGCTGTAGCTCAGAGGAAAACCTAGTTTTATGCAAACTAGTATTTTGTCATGGTACAGTGCTGCCTTGAATCAATCTTCACAGTTAGTCCTCAGACCTGACTTCATTTTACCTTCCTATATATCCACATATGATGATTTAATATGACTGCAGTGCTACCAGTTAATGTGCCACATTTCTCTATCATCTATGCAGGTATTCTGAATCATGTTTACAACAGGCTTTACACCGAACATTTTAACCAACCATTTTGTCTGTTGACTTGTCAAATGCCAGATATGGCTGTTATAAAATATTTAAAGTTAATTTATATGCACTTTCAAGTGTACTGAGTCTGAGCTGTTGACAGAGGACAGTTTGACAGCCTGTACACTTGGTTTTGTTTTCACCTTCATGACCAAGATGACACTGTTTCCCTTCATAGGTCGTAGCAGAATGGAGTTTCTCAAATACATTTTCAAGTACAGAGCTGAAAGACCTTAAACATTTAATAGATTGATTGATTAGGTGTCAACTATCAAACTAATTGTTGACTATGCTAATCATGAATGTCGAAATTTTCCAATTGCATTTTTTTTTTCTTCTTGTGAATGGTTTCTTTTCTCCTCTCTAACAATAAACTGAATATTTTTTTGACAAAAGAAATTTTATCATCCTTTGGGACACAGATTGACATTCTAAACCATTTTCTGACATTTTATATATCAAACAACTGATAGATTTTTAAAAAATGATTGAAAAAATGGTAATGCTAGCTGCAATTCTAGTTGACATATGATATAGCTACATCATACAAGTTTCATGTACCTACAGAAATCACTCCGTATGTATTTGTGGATTGTCTTTCAAATGCTTATTAGACTGTTTTAATCCCATAAACTGATTAAGTCCTAAAGGATATTTTCACATTTGTTAATTGCAACAGGTTCATATTCATTATTAGCAAAAGGACACCGGAGTAATTGAATTTCTGTATATTTTTTTTCCTGCAGTTAAGCTGCTGATTTAAGGTTTGTCAGATTTTAAAAAAAACAAAAAAACATTTGTTAACCTTATACCAGCTAAAGTTAACTAGCCTACTTATAGCTAAGGCATCAGTAATAGTTCATTAGCTGTGAGCTTAAAGATTTTGTCGAGCTAATTAGCAAGCCAGCTAGTCGGCTGCTTAAAGACACTAACTTTATATTTAGAATTTTGAAAAATTGGAACTTTAAATTCAGAATTGTGACTCTCCTCCACTCTTAGTTTTCAGTTCTGACTTTGACCTCATTTGAATTATGGATTTAAACTCAAATTTAATCTCAGTATTCTGACTTTTTTTTTTTTTTTTAAGTCAATGAATAAATTGAACTTTTCTCATAAAAAATGAAAATGGTCTGCACTTATATGGCACTTTTCTACCTTAGTGGTATTAAAAGCACTTTACAATGTGTTTCTCATTCACCTATTCATACACCAGTGGCGACAGAGCTGCCATGCAGGGTGCTGTCTGCCATTGGGAGCAACTTTTGGGGTCAGTGTCTTGCCCAAGGACACTTGGACTGTGGAGGGGCCGGGGGTCAAACCAACAACCTTTAGATTAGACGACAACCGCTCTACCACCTGAGCCACTCCCCTCCAATCATATTTGCCCAATTCATAAGAAAAGATTGAGGTCAAAATTCTGCGTTTAAAGTCACAACTTTACAGTAAGAATTTTAAAAAGTTAGCCCTTTAAACTTCAAATTCTGAGATTAGAGCCAGAAAGTCAGAACTCAAATACATTTTCTTTTATAGTGGGCCCAATCCTCATCCAGCAAAAACTACTGACAGATTTGTAGATCTGTATAAACCAACAGCTTGTAATAGTATGGTAACTGTAAAGTCCACTTCTGGTGATATGTCATTTATTAATGTCCGCAGCAGAGACATTGATGGATTAACCAATTAAAATGATCTGTTCATTGAAGCTCATCTGTTTTTGATGAAATCTTGACTTGCTCATGTGAGCTGATGAAGTTCTTCACTAATGCAGCTGCTGCTTCAGGTGTGACGCTGCTGACTGAACCTGTGATTAACAGTCTCCTGCAGCTCAGAGACAGAGTTTTAGTTTCTAGATCTCCCGACAGCTCAGAAAAACATTTTCAACTTGCATTACTGCCAACAGCAGCCAAAAGAACTTTAACTTTTATGGGGATATTGTGAAACAGCACTCTGCTGAAACAAAACTAACTAAAGCAGTTTTTTCAAACTCTACTCTCTGAGAAGAAATCACACGCAACACCGAGAAACTCCTTCTTCAGGTCTGCATATATTTTTAATGATAACATTCATTCTATCAGAGCTTCAGTAAGGTTTGAAATGTCAGGGAACAACACTCTAGAAATATCCTGATGGGAGAAGAAATTATATAACAGAGGGATGAAACACTTGATTCTGCTGCTGTGGATGCACTCGGTGCTTCACCCTCCAGCGGCCAAATTGTTCTTCATTTATTTCTTCCATCTCCGTCCGTCCTCTCGAAACACACCAGAGAAGAGAAACCCAGCAGCCCGGGAGTTTCATTTATCCCTTTTTGACCAACACACGGAGAAACGAGGGCTGCACAGAATGCAGAGACAGCAACAGACATGATTCAGAGAGGTGTGAGGATTCGTGGATCCTCTGTGGTGTTCTGTGTACTCGTGCCTGTTCATTAACACCTGGGCAGGTCAGAGTAAGCGCAATCCACTCTACATTTCCCATTGGGATCATAAGGATGCTGGACAGAAGTGACAGGCTCCAGTGCACGCAGCACCACAACGGTGAGGCAATAAAACAAGAAAAAAAATCAGGGGAATTACACTTCTGCTCCTAATTCACCTCCACAGATGATGTTCAGGTACATGATCGGGCTGCAGTGAGTTCACCTCGCTGTCTACGTCACGAACTTCAGAGGGGACGAATGAAAACAAACAGGAGGGTCAGGGGAAAATAAAAATCCAAAAATATATATTTATGTTTATATTTATATATATTTATATATTTACGAGGTATGTATCCACAAAAAGAAAACACCCAAAATTTCAAAATAGGCAGTCTGTGTTTTTTTTTCTCCAAATGTGTCCTTGCTTTGCGATGCCATAAGGAAACATTAATATTAATTAAAAATTAAAAAAACAAAACCGGGAAGCTTTGCTGTCCATCAGCCCTGCTCTTGTAATCAGTTCTCTGAGACCAGAATCTCCACTGCTGGGAGTCCAAACACACCGAAGCACCGGCGCTGGTGGTGTCAGGCAGCTGCACTCCAAAAAAAAAACAAAAAAACAACTAAGATTGCAAATCACAAAGTCCCAAAAGGATTCACTTCAAGAAAAAAATTAAAATAAAATAAAAACAAAACAAGCGACGCCCTCCGAACCGTTGATTTCCCAACAACTGCGGTGTCAGAGTCTCCGAGAGGAGCTTAGGAGTGAGCAGAACCGCTGAGGCTGGGCTGAGGTGCTGGGAGGGAGGTGAGAGGAGGTCAGCCACAGGTCCAAAGAAGGTGTCTTTGTGCAACAAAACGAGCCTCAAGGTTAAACGAAAGGAGAAATGAAAGAACCAGCGGCAGGTGTCCTCCCGACAATTATTAGTTCGGCTGGCAGTAGAAGATGGCTGCCCACTGTAGTCATGCCAGGTACTGCTGCATCGCCGTCTTCGCCCTGAGAAGACAAACACACAATCAGTCCAACCTGATCAGCAGCTTCATCTCTGAACCCCAAAAGCTGCCGCCGGGTTTGAAATGCAATTAATATCACCAAAATTACCAGAAACTGTAAAAAAACAGAAAGAACCGTCTGATTTGGAAAACAAAATCTAAGCTTAAATTTGTAAAATTTCATCAAGATTCTATGTATTTATTCTAAATCGATGGAAAGTCCTTTATTGTCAATGCACAAATTAAGCAGCAGTCCTGTCAGACAAAAAATACAAGAACAATTGAATGAAAATAAAATATAGTTAAAAAGTAATATGTACAAGTTTAACCTCAGAGGACAGTGATATGGCTTATTGTTGTGAGAATAGCTTTTTTTTTTGCATATTTACATCACTATTAAAACCAGTAGAGTAACTGATGAACATTTACCAAAACTGAATGTCTTTCAGTAGTGCAAGTCTAATTAAAAAATTTATCAACAATAAACTGTTGCACTAAATATATTCTACAAATTCTGCACTCCTCGATGTAACAGTGAAGACGTGACTGCCACAGTTGGAATAAACAGCCATAAACAGCCATTACAAATATAAGTAGTAAAATATCTGTGCTATGTAGAGTCAAATGTTGTACCCGCTGATTCCAGGTTTTTACTTTTTTTTTTAAGAAAACAAATAATCAACCAAATTAAACGTATTTATGATTTAGTCACAGTTGTGCTGTTCCATGGAGGTGCATGACTTTATGTTGCAGTGAAAAATGAGCCCACAGTAAAGAAAAATGTGACAGGAGCAAATTAAAAAAAAAAAAAAAACAGGAGCCGTTTGTAGTTCAGGAGGATAATCAATATCTGACTTGACCCTTCTGTTTTGTGATTTGCTGCTGTGGCCCACCTGTCACTGAGGTTGGGGTCCGAGGCCTGGGTCAGTTTGTGCAGGACGTCCACGAAGCCCATCTCCCTCAGCTTGTCCTGACGCTCCTGAGAACCTGAAGAAGCAGAAACAAAAACTTACTATGACATCTACTGACATCTGCCAACATTCCAAAAATTCCACTGCAACTTGGTGCTAATAATAATAAAGATCAGGTGTTCACTCACAGTTCAACATTCAATCATACAAACATTTAAAGCACCATAATCACACAACAGCTCAACAGTTCACACTCGCTGTGTTGACCTCTGTGGGCTCAGCCAATCTTTATGAATTTGAGAAACTAACTACTAGAGCTAAACAATTAGTTTAAAATCAAAATTTGACACAGTCACAAAGGCTGCAATTCAACATCTGTGTCATGCAGCTCATCTGAAGCAGTTTTATAAATTCATGTTGTCCTCCTCCAGTGATTCTTTTAATGGTGCCTCCTAGGATAATGTCATATCATGTTTTGAACCTATTACACAGTGATCAATAAACTGCAGCAAGACTTTAGATAATTACTATACATCACAAATTACAGTATCTGTGACAATGATATTTTCCCTAAATTGTTCAGGCCTATTTCTACCTGATAAAAGCACACATGCACAAAGCAGTACAAACCACAGTAATGTGTGTGGATGGACGCAGCGCTGTGTGCAGGTCGTAACTATGATTACATTTAATGAAACTTCAACATTATTTTTTCTTGGTGACATTTTATCGCAGACGAGTAACTAGTGTCGCTATAAAGGTCTATATATTCTACTCTTCACCGCAATAACTACTTAGAGAACAATTCAACTGAGAAGCAGGGACGTGAATTTGGAGGTGAAGTGTCTGTTAGGCTCTAAGAGTTAATAATGAAGGTCTGTGCCTCTTAAATCTGTAGGAAAATCTGAATCAGCACCTCCGTCCTTCAACAGGACACAAGACAACTCCCACTTTATCTGAACCTGGTCCTTTTCTTTCCTTCCCATCATGTGGTGCGTCTCTTACCGTCCTCCTCATTCCAGATAAGGTTTGAGATGCAGAAGGTGGCGGCAAGCTGCAGTTTCACATTCGAATGCCCCTGCAGAACAGCAGAACACAAAGAAACCACAAGTGAACAAAAACACAGAAAACAGAGTCGTGGGAAGGACGCTGCTGCGACATCAAACGTTTATTCGGATCAGAAGAGAAGAGCAGTAGATGATGTTATCACAGTACCATGTAGTATTTGATTTTCTGGAGCATGTCGTCATTGGTCATGATAAGTTCCTTGGCTGTGTTGCCGTCGGCGATGTTGGCGAGGATGCACAGCGTCTGAGAGACAATCAAAGTGTAACATCAGTGCTTTTATTTAGAACCGACTGTGATGGGTTTCCAGCTCTGCAGACGCCGCAACATGTCTGACATAAATCACATCTGCAGTGCGGCTTCTTCTGTGGCAGCTGGATGCATGAAAATCATTTGTACGCATGAAGCGGAGGCGGCGCTCACCTGCTCTTTAACCTCGATGCTGTGCTCTGCTTCCAGGATGAGGGTCACTGCCTGCATGATCTGCTTCCCGTGAGAGCTCATGATCTGGTCAATGTGCTGACGGCAGGAGGGTCGGGGGTGAAGGAGAGGCAGTGGACAATCAGTATTCATGCTGCGTTTATGGAGAAGTCATTCAGATTCAGCACAGACTGGGTCATATATCTACACAACAGGTAAGAATTGAGGGAGCACTCAAGGTTTAAGGTCGGCCCTGAGGTGAAAAACTACATTTTCTGACACGACATAAAAGCTCCTGTGAGACGTTTTTGACCACAGAGCTGCACAGGTCACAAATAATGCAAATATGTGACAGTATGAAAATAATGATCACTCCTTCACTCCTGCAGGTGTTTCATGTTGAAGAGCCTATATTCTGCTTTTTGGAGTTTTTCCTTTCCTTCAGTGTCGTATATAGCTGTTTTTTGTGCCTACAAACTATCGGCAAACTTACAAATTCCACACCAAACGGAGTTATTCTCTCCTACAGAAACTTTGTTCCTTATCTAGCTTAAAAACGTATCTACACACATCTGCATAACGACTGACTAGCAGGTAGTTTGGTCCCCAAACAAAGAAAGAGCAGCTGCCTCGTAGTCTGACGTTTGGCTCATTGTAGATGAACCAGACCTACAATGATTCGATCACCAGCAGTCGCCAAACAATGCAGCCTGTTAGATTTCTGTCCAATTTCATTCTGACCTTCCCTGATGCCAAGCAAACGTCAGCAACAATAACATTTAGAGATAAAGACAACTGCATTTTTTAGAGCTAGATGCCGCAGTTCCTCTCCAGTGACCTTTTGGTTGACTTAGTAATGTAACGTGATATAAACTTTGCATTTTAGTTCGATTTACAGAAAACGTACGTTTTAGTTGTCTGATTTGGAAGATTTATTCTACATGTGTGGTTGATGATTCATCAGTCAAAGAGGTTGAACCCATTCAGATTACACATCATAAACTGCAGACAATATATAGCTCTAGTTTTTTTGTAGATTAACACTTGACTGATTTAATTCTTTAAGTATTAAGCATCGCTACAACTTCTGGTAGAGGATGTGAGGACTATTAAAATAACATCTGTACAGATGTTTCAGCCCTGACAGTCTGAATGTCTGACAGATCAGTAATAAAAACGGTTGTCTTGTGTTTCTTTCTACTGTATTTAAATATGTAGTTTGACAGGGACAGGCTTGGTCTCCTGATTTATGCACAAAGTGATCTGATGCTGATTCACATAAAAATGCATGTGAAATGGAGGTTGAACCATGAACAGATCACCTGTTAAACATTTTAAAAGGCGGCTCTAAATACTAGAAACTATTGGAGACTGTAACACTCTTAAATGCGTCAGAGAACATTGTAATTAATCAGGAGCTAAAATTGAGCCTTTGAGACAGAGGCCAAGAATTAAAGCTTTAGTCATTTATAAGATTTGGAAATAGATAAACATATTTCAGTAGCCCCCAAAATTAAAATTAGAAATCTGTAAATATGCAGAATACAGGCCTCTTTAAAGAATTCTCACCATTCAGGTAAGTCACTCAATATTTGTGAAAATCAGTGACCAGTATATGCAGTTCATTCAGGGATAGTATTTCTAATTTTTACAAAGGATTGTCCAAACAGTATCAACACCAGGCAGCACTTATGGAAATGTTTCATTTATTGGACATGTTCTAAGTCTCGAGCTGCAAAAATAAGCCAATAACTGGTAAGAAGACTAACAGAACCAAAAAATGATAAATCAAATAAATAATAATAATAATGCATTTTCTGGTTTTGGCTCCTCATTAGTAAGAATTTGCTGTAGCAATAAACAGAACATTTTAGATTTTGGACCAGTGACAAGACAAAACAAGATGTGAAGATGTCTCCTTGGAATTAAGGAAACCATTTCACAGAAAAAACTATTAGGCCCTGAACATTCACCTGCTTTTATACTGAAGAAAAATTAAAAGCAAGAAGCATTTAACCTATTGGACCCTTTTAGATGAAAGAAAAAATAGGAAACTACTGTTTTGCTATAAACCCATTTGTATTACAAAGAAAGGAACTGTTGTTGTTGTCGTGTTGATGTCTTAAAATGGTTTGCACTATTGAAATGCTGAGTGTTTTAACCTACGCACAATTTCTCAAATTTGATTAATAAGATAATCAGTGATTAAAATAAGCATCCTTTGCAGCTCTACTGAAGTGATGTGATCATGCTTGTGTGTGTGTTTGTGTCTCACCGGGCGTGTTGACAGCAGATTGCGCAGCAAACCGAGCGTCTTCATCAGGACGTTGGTGTCGGGGTCTGACAGCAGGCGGAACAACTGTTCTGTACCCAAACACCGAACAATCTCCACCTTCACCTTCTGATCTGCCTGGAACGCCATGTTCTTCACACAAACACAAAGATTTGATATTGAAATAATGTACCAGACAGCACAAATCAGTTCTAAACCCCGAAACCCAAAAACATGCCGGCATTTCTGAGTTCTCTCTGCTTCTAGCCATGGTTGTGTTGTTTCCATTGTGGTGCAGGACTTTATAGTGCAGTGAAAAATAAGTCCACAGTGAGGAAAAATGTGACAGGAGCTAAAAAATATCAAGAAACTACTTGGGTTTCAGTGATTGAGTCTTAACCAGCTATTATCATCCAAGCATTAAGTGTATTTGTTTAAACATGACACAATGAGTGAATGTTTTGTAGTTCACAAGTGAAAAAGAGCAAAAGAAAGAAAAACATAATTTATTGTAACTAAACATTTACAGTGTTTAAACCACAAATTCAGGGATGTTTCCAGAATAGTGATGCTCATATAAAACTAATGACTGCCAAAGGAGGCTGTTGTGATGAGACTTAAATTCTTACCATCAGGGCCCAGATCCCGTTGACCCTCAGTGCAGAGCTGTCACTCTGGGTCAGACTGCATAGTAATTCAATCACCCCGGACTCCAGGATGGGCTGCAGACACACACAAACAACATTAACATCATAAAAAGAAAAAAATCATTACCTTTGATGCTGATATGGAACACTTGGCATGTTTGTGTCCAATATTCTGGCTTTCAAGCTGCTAAATGCTCCACTATGTTAACCAGCTGGTCTCCAACTGCCTGCTGTTTGGTGCTGAGCATGTTGTGTAAAGTGGATATTTAAATCTTTTTTCCCTCAACAGCTGCCTGCTGGGGCTGAAAATGATGCTATGAGTAGTAAGAGTGAAATCACACAGTAAATTTGTAGCTGAATAGCTAATAAATAAGAGGAGTTTAAAGCTGTTAATTCAGGTACTAACGTGTGAATGTACCTCTTTGCTGGGCGAGAACTCCAGCAGTAGATTGCATAGTGTAGAAGAAGCCATGACCAGGACTTCATCTGGGGCATTCTGCAGCAGCTGCATAATACACAAACACAAACAGTTCATTTTCACATTCAGCCATTTGTGCATATCCAGCCTGAGAGATGATGCTTGATCAGTAAAATGACAGACATTCAAATGCAATTTTCAAAAAAAGGTTCGCTGAAAAACTATCATTACCTTCATGAGCGGTTTCCACACGGCATGGTCGTGGAAACTGGTCCTCAGCTGCTGCACCGATCGAGACAGACTGTGAAGACACCTGCACAAAACACAGGAGAGAGTCTATTCTCATGGCATTTAGTGAAAATGTGGTGATTTAAAGATTTGCTTTGGCCCTCTGAACCCCAAAATCTGTTGACAGGTGTGATACACACACTGTCTTTTAAATATACACCAAAAACACTATTAATCAGCCAGAAACCATTGAAACAGAAACAGAAAGAAGTGTCAGATTCTCCCTAAGTTGATAATAATTAAACTACTTGCGTGGTTCCATTAAACAAATCTATGCTTAAAATTGTAATATTCTATCAAAATCAAAAGTGTGAAAGTGTAAGTTGTAAAACATCGATAACATCTGAAGCCACCATTTTGTCCAATATTGGTAACACCTGTGGGCAAATTGTTGAGTATTTTGATTCCAAGTTGTTGTTTTTTTCCATTGTTGTAAAATAAATAATCTGAGAAATTCAACTTTTGTTTATTCCATTTTTATGAGTTATGGCATTCTAACTTTTTCACACTGCAAAGAAGACATTTTTGAATTCTAGTTCCTTCTATTCATGGTTGTTCTGTTTCCACAGAGGTGCAGGACTGTATGTTGCATGAAAAAGATCCCACAGTGAGCAAAAAGGTGTCACACAGAAACTGCTTGTGGGTTTAGAGGGTTAAAAAGTACTTCAGTTTTTGTAACTTAGACATATTTAGAGTGGAGATACAATTTTGTCATTTAAATTCTTGATACAGGGTTTAGAGAGAATCTCACTGTCACACCTGTGTCATCAAAGCTTTATTTTCTGTACCTGACAGCCGCCAAACGGACTTTAATGCTGGATTCTGATAGGCCGCTGACTATCCTATCCATCATGTTCTCCGTCTCTGTGATCTGAAGAAGACAAAACAAAAGACAAAGAGGAGATTAGAATGTACAGATTATTCACACGGTTACAAATGCAAACAAAATTGGAGCAGAGAGGTAACCTTTTTGCGGATGTCCTCGTCGTTGGAGCCGAGTGAGGCATAAAGTTTGAAAGCAGCTTGTCGCAGCTCGTGTGCGTGTTTCAGGTCGTGGTCCAGCTGCACACAACAAGAGAAAACTGGTGTCAGCAACACACAAAACATTCTGGTATCTTTGAAGTCCCAGGCTCCACTTCTGCTTCTTATAATATACAATAACAATTATACTGAACAGCCTCAATCATTATCTGCTGGAAAACAAATGCCACAAACGACTGCATTCAGAAACAGGATTACTGAGTCACAGCTGATTAACAGCATAACTAAAACTGTTGTTTGGAAGTCTGGGCAAAATAATCAATTCATAAAAAATAGCTTTTAATTGTTCTTAATTAAAAAAATGTGAATATCATTTAAACTAAACTAGCTGCTTCACTCTAGGTGTTTTTAAATTTTGTACGGATAATTATAGCCCACACAGCTTAAATTCTGACAACTTCAGTGATCCCTATATAGAATTGTTCCAATTTGACAAAAGGCTGTTATTGTCTTCATTTTATAACTTCCTACTTTAACGTCTATCCACCTGTTCAGTCAGGCGCTCTTGTAATAGCCATTTTCTTGTGAAAATCAACATCAACAATACATTTATTAAATATCTATCCCTGTTTAACCAATCATGAGGATTACATCCATAAAACAGAGTCTTACTTTGTGGGGGGAATTACAAGTATGTCTTACAGGGCACAGTGTACCTCTCTCCAGCAATCTTAAACTACAGAACAATTCCAGAAAACATGTTTCTCCAGCAAACTGGAAGATTATTATCATAATGTGATTTCTGCCAAGGTGTGATTAAAACACCTTATCAGGGTTTTCTAACCAAATTCTCTCCACTTCATACTCTTTCACTGATACCTCCATACTGTTATCCACTCCTCTTCAGACATAGTTTTCCCTCCTTTCCTCTCCCATTTTGTTAGAACAAAGGAAGTTGAGTGTGTTTCAAGATTTGACAAACCCTTACACAGTGTATACACATTAAATGATTCTACTGTTAGACTTGTTCAACCAAATCTGCGCACTCTTCCACCTTCTTAACATCATGTCACATTGCCTCCTGACTCACCCTCTTGATGTCAGTGATGGCGGACACTGAGCTGGGGTATTTGAAGTAGTCGGCCAACATGGCCACCAGGTGGTCAGTGGTGCTGGCGATCCTCTGCAGCTCCACATCTGGCTCCATCAGGTAGGCCAACGTCTCGGCACCCTCCACCCTCTCCTCTAGCAAATGTTCTTTACTGCACATCCGCACGAGGCACGGCAGCGTCTGGACCAACAGCAGAGCAACACACGTATGAAATGAAGAGGTGAGGCTGATATATCGTCATTATAATAATGGATGGAGGTGCAGCCGGCTGACCTTTAGTACAATACAGCTGTCGTCTGTCCTGATGGCACCAGCTCGACACATGTAGGTCAGACTGAGACAGAAGGAGGAGAGATCCAGTTTGAAGAAACGGTACACAGGAAATGTGGTTATTGGAGAGTAATAATCAATATAGTTACTCACCATTTGGCTGCTGTAAGCTGCATTTCAATGGGTTGATCCCGTTGCATCATTTTGACAAATACCTGAGAGAGCAGCTCACCATCCACCAGCACTGGAAGCACAAACACAGAGATGAGGTGGGGTTTAGAGGCTGAAGAGGAGAGAAGACGAGACAAGTCGAGAAGATAAGCGAGGAGAAGGAAGGTGACGAAAACACAAGACGAGGTGAGACCAAAAGAGACGAGGTGAGACGAGGAAAGGAGGTGAGAAGATGAGAGAAGAGACGAGGAGAAAATAGACCAGACGAGAGGACAACGAGAAGTGAAGACAAGAAGAAAAGACAATCGATGAGAAGAGAAGAGATGAGACGAAGAGAGAGGAAACAATAACAGACAAGAAGAAAGCAGTGAAGACAAGTAGACAAGAGATGAAATGAGAAGAGACAATGTGCAAAGAGATAAAAAGATACAACATGAGAGGAGATGACAAGAAGAGATAGGAGAAGAGCTGAGAGAAAAGAAGAAGGGACAATAAGAAATGACAGGAGAAAAAGAAACAAGGCTGGAGAAGAAATAGCTGAAGAGATGAGAAGAAAGAAGAAACCACAGAAGAAGACATGAGAGAAGACAACTCGCACATATACAATACAAGAAAACAAGACAAGAGAAGAGACAACAAGAAATGAGAAGAGACGAGAAGAAACAATACACAGAGTGACAATATCAGAAAAGAAAGAAGATGAAACAGAACAAAAGGAGATGAAAAGACATAAGACGAGAAGAGACAAGAAGAGATGAGACGAAAAGATGACTTGAGAAAAGACAAGGAAAAAAAAACAAGAGAAGAGATGAATATGTGAAGAAAATGAAGAGACAAAGTGAGAAGAAACAAGATGAACAAAGACAGAAAGACAAATGAAGAGACCAGACGAGACAAGGAGGAGATAGAAGAGGTTCGCTCACCATTCACCAGTGTCATGGAGACCTGAGTGTTCTCATAGGCCAGGACTGAGAAACACTTTAACGCCTGCATCCGGACCTGCACAGCATGACAAACAGCGGTTACAGAGTGTGAAAGGCTGCATCATCCAGCATGTTCCCTCCTTGGGAGACGTCTCACCTTATAAGAAGGGGAGATTAGCAGAGGGGCGATGTTCTGGATGGCGCCGTGGTTGAACAGAACCGTCTGGTGCTCCGGAGTCTGGAGGCGACAAAACGTCTGATCAGTGATGATTCTGGATCTGGAGGAAAGTGTGATGGATTCTTGTGTGTTTGTGTGTGAGCAAATACCAACAAATACCTTACAACAGTGGGAGAAGATCTGCGTGATGTACTCCTGGGTTTTCTGCGAGTTGCTCAGTAAAGACATTAGATGAGGAATCACAGTGGGGTCCTAAAAAAAAACAAAAAACACATATGTAGTATAATTTCAGAGTGGAAATAGAATCAGAGGAAATGGTCCTATTTGAAACATCTATATAGCTTATTAAACTATGTGCTGTATTGTATCTCATGCTTTCTTCTACAAAAAATAAAGAAGCAAAATTCTGACATTTATCAGAGCCAGAAACTATAAACGCATAGCAAGATGTCCTTTAATGCATTTTGTATGATGAAATGAAATGAAATGAAAAATACTTTATTTATCCCAGAAGGAAAATTCAATAATGATGTGCAATTCTGTCAAGAAAATCTCAGTATAAAATCACTTCATTCTACATGTCTCAACTCCAAATATGAAACGTTTGCACCAGATCCAGGAAAAAATTCTGTGGTCCTCTGCGCAACTACAAAGCTGCGACTGACTCAGCTTTGACAGAAATTCAGATACACTTAGAGGAAAATAAAAATACTGGATCGATTAAATACATGCATCGTCTGAAGATACATTCAGCATGGTGAAACATCTTTGCAAAGCTGATGTGTGAAAAAGGTTGCATGAATGTAATTATCTACAGTATGTGGGGCCTTCATTTTTTTCCCAGTTTTGGCAACACATGTGGACATAAACATTCAAAGAAACTCAACTTTTATATTATATAATTTATTGCATTCTAACTGTCATACTGCACAGAAGTTCTCTTTATTTAATGGTTGTGCTGTTTCCATAGAGGTGCAGGACTCTATGCTGCAGTGAAAAATGAGCCCACAGTGAGTAACACTTGGACAGGAGCAAAAAAAACAGGTTGGGCTTTACAAGTGTGGTTCCTGGTACCAGAACAACAGAAATTTAAACTCTTGTAGCTCCTTGCTTTGGTTTTACAGCATTCACATTTACTACATGCCAACTCATGGGAAAACATGACTTGATACAGATTTTATTTTTTATTTGTACATTGCACAGAGTTTTGTTTTGTTTTGTCAGTGCAGTTGTTGCTGCTGCTGCATACAGAAATTTGTTGCTTCTACAAAAGATGTTTGTTTTTGCCAACCGACAGCAAAATGATAACAATCGAGTATAAAAATGTACCTATACATTTTCCTTTCCCTGTTTTGGTATTTTGCCTTCCATTTGTTCAGCATAATAGATGCTTTATCATATGGTTAGAAACAACAGGAAAGAACAGAGATTTCTGTCAATTAAAGAAACAGCTTTTACTGGATGTTGATCAATCATGCCTACTGTGTATTTCAGTTTGTTGAAGCAAAGTTTGGGTCACAAGAAGTCGAGTATGTAAGAGTATGAATGAACTGATTTGATGCGCACATTCATGTAATTATGACACTTAATGGTATAATAATTACAATATCCCAAATCCTGATGTCATCAATACTCAAACCAGTACTCTGCACTTTAATTGGACAATTAATGTTTAAACTTGTACCATCAATTCACACACAAAGCAGGCAGATCATGTTCAAGACAACCTACAGTGTAGAGCAGCTGCACGGGGGTGACTGGACTGATGAAGACTGTTCTTAGACATCGAAGACAAGCTTCAATGAAGATCAGGTCCGGACACAAGAGACCTGCAGGCAGGAAACACAGGTGTTGTTAAGGTCTGCGCGTCCTCAGCTCACCACGATGTGGTCGCCTTAAGTATTTGCATTCATGAGAGTGTGTGTGTTCCCCCCCAACCTTGAAGGAGGGCAGGGATGATGTGACAGTCCACCAGGGACTTGATGTTGTTCTCGGTGCCCATGGCGAGGCTTCCCAGCACCACCGCACACTCCGTCCTCAGCTCCAGACTGGATGAGCTCTGCTGCAGCAGGTAAAGTAACCTGGAAACAATAAAAACATGCATATATTAAAGAGAGTTCATGGTTTCCAATAACCTGTAAAGTACACCAGATTATACCAGTAAGTTATACTCTGCTGGGTTGACGGGTCTGTGTGAATGAGACACTGCAGGTCCTTCCTATATACTGCTGTTTGACTACAACTAGCTGAAAGAAGCTCCTGGGAACTATTACTCCCAGTAAATCCTACACTGAAAAACTGTCAGCTTTTACTATGAAATATGAATATTTTGTACATTCAAAATAGTGTACAATTTTTTTCCCCCTCTAAATATACAACTTCCTTTTTGACATTGTACAGGTTGGTCTGTGTGTCTCTCAGCAGCCTGCACAGGTAGATAAAATCAGGTAGATTAATAAAGTTCCATCTTAAATTATTTCACCCTTTTCCAACTAAATTTTGACATACGTGTATGGCCTTCTGAGCTGTGTTAATTGAGTGGAGACCAGAGGCTTCTCTGGAAACCGCTGCTGAGTGTTTCGGGAATATTACAGCTAAGTTATAGCTTCAAAAAACAGTCCAAGCTACACTACTCTTCTAAACTGCATGAATCTATTCATGCACACCAGTCGCACAGCACCACCAACCACCACAAGTAAATTCTCAACCTGTAGGAAACCCGAAGAAATTATCAACAGCCAACGTTGCAAAGACTTTTGGGAACTGTGTTTTTTTGCCGCAGAAGCATCAACATTTCGAACTGAAATTGTAGGAGGAGCGATGAACAAGTTTCAGCGATTATTATTTGTGTTACTAACAATAAAGTTTGTGATGGATTGTCTTCTGATATATTAGATTATTAGTGATATTGATTAAAAATGTGCTTGTGGTAATGATTTACAAAGTGGGAGAGAAGGCGAGTGGTCACCATATTTTTGGTTGGCCACCATGTCAAACCACTTTCTGAATGGTCGCTGTGATTTTAAATAAATAAATAAAATAGAATGAAATATATATAATTTGTGTGCATATAAATACAGTTGACTTCTTTTCCATAATAAAGGGTACTCTGGTGTCCACCAGGACCAAGTAGTGCTTCTGTATGCTTCTTTTTTGATTGTTTTACTGTATTTACACTTTTTGTTATTGTACCAGCCTCATCTGTTTTTGTTTTTTCTTGCACCTTAACTTGGTTCTTCTACCAGCACGATTCGGACCTTATTTTGTTGTTTATCTGTCCATCTACTTAGACTGCAGTTTAGGATCTCAGCAAGTCTTTTTCAGTAGCATGTCATCTGTGATAACCCAGGACTGACTTCAGTCTCCAGGCGACTTGTAGTTTGTTTCCTAAAGTCGCTCCAGGAATGCTGAAAAAAATAAAAAACAACAACTTTGGATTGCTGGGTTCTCTGTTCAAAATTCGTAAGGTCTCTGCCTTACTATGTTAAGCCCTGTGAGATGACATATGTTGTGAATTTGCGCTATACAAATAAAATTGAATTGAACTGAACTGAATTGAATTGAATTTGGGGCTGCTCGGTGGTTAGCACTGTTGCCTCGCAGCTAGAAGATCCCAGGTTTGCGTCCCGCTTAGGAAACCTGGGAACTTGAGTTTGTATGTTCTCCCCGTGCAGTGTGGGTTCTCTCCGGGTTCTTCGGCTTCCTCCCACAGTCCAAAAACATGTTGAGGTTAATTGGCGATTCTAAATTGTCCGTAGGTACATGTGCTTGGTTGTCTGTCTCTATGCGATAGACCTGTCCAGGGTGTCCCCTGCCTTCGCCCTGAGTCAGCTGGGATAGGCTCCAGCCCCTCGTGAGGATTAGGCGGTGTATAGACGATGGATGAATGAATTGAATTTGCAGGCGCCTGACCAGCAGAGCAGCCTCTTTCTCTTGCAGCATCTCATTTACATTATGTGTTAAGAAATTACCAATCTCTATGGGAACTGACAGAAAAAGGTTAAGCGGCAAGAGGTGCTGCAAAAAAATTTGGGTGAACCTAAATGAGAAAGTTAGGCTCAGAGCAACCAGTGTAAAAAAATCAGTGTGGGGCCCTCTTAGCTGTGGTGAGCGTCATGCTGGTGATTTCTCTGTTATGAGATCAGAGAGAGAGGAGGTTCTGAAAGCAGCATGTGTTACATGGAACAACTTGTTCTAGTTGGCGACAGACAGCATAGTGCGAAAACAGAGGGATGAGCATCTTGTGTATCAACAACATTGTGTCAGTGCACTTGGATGATTTTTTTTTTCTTTTTTTCTTAAAGGTCAAAAGTGGGGAGTAGAGACGAGGTGAAGGTGTGCATACCTCGGAACAGCTCCGAGGACGATCAGATTGGCCTTCTGCTTGTTGTTTCCTATGACAGCATTCTTCATGTCACTGCAGACACACAGAGAGGAGTTCATGTATTCAAAGCGACACGAGTTGACATAAACGCTTTAGGTGCAAGAGCACATTATGTTTCCTTAAAGCTGCATTTCTCACAGTAGTGTCCCTTCATCATATCAGCGAACAGTGGTCACTGTGTTCAGAGGTTAGTGAGGACAGCATGAAGTACAGCAGAGGACATGAGCCAGATCATCTGATAACATATATCACACAGAATGATGGCTTCCAAACCAGAACAGAGAAGCAGATGTATCACACATTCTACACTTCATTTATATTCATTGCATTTTCTCCATGGTGTGTTTCTTCTGGTCAGATGATATCAAATAGCAGCTGAGAGAAGCTAGTGGAAAAGTACAGCTGTAGCAAGCAGTTCAGTCAGTCAGGTGCTCGGCTGGTGGAGCGGTAACCAGAGCAGGTCTCCTCAGAAGTTAAAAATAACGATGAAATAGTCAGAGTCCAGGTCAGCGCAGCCGACAGAGATATGAAGTCGCACTGAACAGTGAAATGCATTTTGAAATAGACCATCACATGAAAATCTGAATGTAAACACAGAGGTCATTCTCCTGAAGGAACACCACTGCTGGTAATGTCTAGTACGTTTACTGGCAAACCTGTGAAGATAATTCTCAGTAACAGCAGCTGATTTTTCAGGAGAGTGTGAACTTTGTTCAATCAGCAATTTCAGCACAGAACCTTCATCTCTGTGTATTTGTATATATATATAAAGCAGAGGCAGAGCTGAAACACCAGCTGGATAAAGTCCACCCTCCTCCAGTAAGTTGGCAGGTGAAACAGTGGGGACAATTTCTATGCACAATGTACCTGACTATTCGAATCAGTAGCTGTCATTCACTGCAAAAGAAACAGTTAAAATTTTCCCTGCTGGACTTACATGACTCCCTGCAGCACTTTCTGTGGGTCGGGGTCGAAGAGTCTGTCGACATAATGGCGACTGGTGGCGGTGACTTCCTACGTGAGGAAAAATGAAACACAAAAATGACTTACAAAACTCACTGATGTACACACTTTCACACTTGGGCTGCAATGCCAGAAACTTCATGAGATTGCACCTTGCCCACTTTCTCTCACACAATAGATAGTAGCAAATACAGAGCACAGAAGAACTGGTCTATATTAGAAAAACAGCCATTAAATACAGTTTTAAATTGCTGATTTCTTTATAAAATAATTACAGTTAAAGCACTTTACGTGCAGATACTGACAGTCATGCACACTGAAACATACAGCAGCAGCAGCATCCATGGCAGGAGGCTTTGAAATCTGTTCTATGTTGCACTCGGTGGCTGCATGTGACACCAGAAAAGTTTGTTTGCATCACTGACAGCTTTAACCAGAACTTTCCACATGACTCCAGAGAAATAAGCATCCACCAGCTGACCACACACTGATACTACTGACCTCTGGTGCTAACATGTAACTGACAAAGTATTCAGTATGCATTCTCCCTGCATAAACCTGACTTGACACTTTTATTTCGAAAAAGGCTTTGGTGCACATCAAGTCTATTTTGCAAGAAATTCGTACCAGACAAATTAAATACACACAACAATGGAGCTACTTGTACGCAAAAAGGTAAAAAAATAAAAAAATAAAAAAAAGGTCTAATAAACAGGAGCATAAATGCAGCATGTGATGATTTAATTAATTATATTTATTCTTTTAAGGTATGGGAAAAAGTATTTGTTGTTTGAACACGACACCTCTACAATAGAATGAACATCATGAAACCAAGAATACTGTAAATGATAATGGGTAGGCGGAGAGTGGACTCATCGACCAGAAATCACAAGTCAGTAACCAGGCACAAATCTGAGAGCTAATGAGGTTGTTGATGCTGGCCAGTGGAAGGCTGTTTTCCTGGGGTCCCATTTTTGGGGAAAGGATCACATCTGTGGACATCCAGAGCTTCCCATAGATGTTGGATGGTGACATGTCTGGAGAGTCTGCAGATTCTAACAGGACTGGCACATTTTCTGCTGCTACTATAGAAGGACAGTGCAGATTCGGGGGCCATGAGGATGTGTGTTGTCTTGTTGAAACATTATGTCATGGGAGGTATAAATTGAATAGTACAGGTGAGAGGATTTCATGCATCATGACTGTTGTCCCTCTTGCTACTGTTCAATGATGTGAGCGGTCGCCCACTGCAGCGGACACTGTTCTGCCGTTAGATGAAGGCCTTGGCGTGGGCAGCAACATCATGGGCTAGCTTCTTTCAGGTGAATCCTCACAGTTTGAACAGATACAAGTTTCATCAGCATCTCTAAAGTTGATAAAAATGACGGACTAGCCAGATGTGATGATTCTGAGTTCCCGGGGGACTTGTGCCCTGTGGTCAGGTGGCAGATTATGCTGTCTGACACGGTTTCTTTTACACCAAATGGTGAACGTGTGGACATTCAAGTGCCTAACTACAACCCCAAAAACATGTCAGCATCCAGCTGCCAACAGCCCACTCTCGTCTTTCTCTTGTCATCTGTGGCATCGTGTAATTTGAATAAAGCTGCATTTTAAGTAGGCCTTTTATAGTCACTGGTCAAAGGACTGTCTGTGTCCTGGTCACGCTATCTGATTATTATCCCTTAAAGCCACACCTGACTAGACTGTGGGTTAACCCAGAGGCTGAGAATTAGGTACTAGTTGGACATCTCAAAAACTTGGTGAACAGCATGATAAATGTAACCATTTTAAAACCATAACAATAAAAATCGGATGTTAATGTTTTTCCTCTGAGTCAGAAAAGAAGACCATTTGCATGCTGCCTTTATATTTTTGTTCAGTGAAAAGCAACCATAATACCTTGAGCACGAAGTGTCTTTTCTGTATGTCCCTAACCTGGGGGCGTTTCACTTTCGCCAGTTAGGCTTACTTTCACTAAACCCATTAACTCAAACCAAGTTACACCTGAGAGCCACTTTCACCTGCTACAATAAATTACAATATTTTAACTACTAAAGTTCGGTGGTAGAAACGGGTATTTAAACCCAGTGGAAAACTCCTCAAAAGAAGGAAACTAGTGAATTAACTAAGTTAGCTTTGCTAGCTTAACCTTAAGCTACTGGTTGCTAACGTTACCTGGAGCTAGGTTAACAACGTTGATATTGTAATTAGCAAACTGCAATGGCTAAGAGTTAATAACGTCTGATATTTGGAACTAAATGCTCATTCCTGGCACTTATTTTCCGCTGTGCATATTTAAATGTGTTTAAATTACTACAAAACTGGTGACAGCACTGTCACTATTAGCAGTTAGCTGCTAACTCATTCCCAGTGACACTGACAGCTACTTGGTTCGTTTGATTTGGTTTTATTAACACACCGCCGGACCGAGCGGACAAAAATGTGTGTATCCTTACAATATGCTCAGACTATTCCCGCCCGCCCGGGAGAGAGGAGAACTTAAATCATTCTCACCGACCGCTACGTAGGCGGACCGCTACAGCGCTACATGTTGCAGAGCCTTTAACTTAGCCTGCAGGCTAACTGAACACCGGAGCCCTTTAGTTTCACCGCTCCGAGCTCCATGTGCCTCATTAAACGATGTTAGCCACTCACTGCTGGAGTTAGCATTCTGTAAACTGGCATTGCCGCTTGAAAAGAACAGAGTGACACTCACGGACAGGACACTGATGCGGAGCGGGGCCTCCAACAAGCACGCCATCTCTCTTCCCCCGAATGGGCGCCCCAATCGGCGCAGCACTCCGTGGACACTCCGCCCCCCAGAGCAGCTGCGAGCGGGCGTTAAAAAGTAACTGCAGCTCGGTCGGGCAGCTCCTCGCCGGTGTTATTAAAAAACTGATGAGTGTTATTCCCGTGAGGGCTCGACTGTGGTCACCAGCAGCGGATACACAAGAGAAAAGAAGACCGCTAACTCTGCGAGCTGTCAGACAGACCTGGATTTGTACATCAAGTAAATGTTGTTTATAAATGTGACGTACATGGTGTCGCTGCGTGTCAGATTCGACACAATTAATTTACCCTTTCGGAATATTTGCAAAAATAACATGAGAATAAACCTACAAACAAAAAAAATGTTGCAACCACTAATTTTAGCTATAAGTACATTTAATAAAGAATATTAAATTAGACCCGTTTTACGGCTGAATCTGCTGCCAACAGTCAAAATGGCTCGCTAAAGCGGACTGCGCATGCGCACGATGTGTAGGAGACAAGGGGGGAAAATTCGTTCTGTCGGTTGCTGCCACAAACCTGCGACATAAATATGTTTTTTACAATAAGTTTGTGACTTTAAGGATGATAAATCGAGACCAACAAACTCGACAGTCATACTTTAATCACAGTAAGTACTCGGCTTGTCAGTTTACGTTGTTCTGTTGTGAGAAATATGCCTTTTTGCTGTCTTTTTGGATTAACTACGTAGCCTAGCTAGCTATGGCATGTTGTGTTTTGTGGCTAATTCCAATATTGCAGTAAATGTGCCCCAGGGTCTGAATATTAAACGAGTATGAACAAGTGTTCAGGTTAACTTCTGTTCCTGAAGCTTTTAATTCATTCATTTCAGCAACAGGACTTCTTTCCACAGTTGTTAATTTTAGCAACTGATTATATGTATTCACAGCAAGTTAATCTTATTTTTTTATCGCAATTTTGTTTTCTGACAGATTTTTAGATTTAATTTGCAATATCATATTTTAAAGTCAAGCTTCAGTTCATTAAGTAATGACGCTGGGCTTTATGTCTTTTGAAGCTCAGTGTGCAGCCTGAATCTTGTATTACACACTGATCAATGGGCTGCATAAACAACAAACTAAATTCTGCTTTTAAAAACTGCAGCATTAGTTTTGTTATTAAATAGCAGTGCCTTTTACATCCTATGTTGTAGCCTTTGCAGTCTGCTAATTGCATAGTTTCAAATTGTGATTCCACTTTGAAAATGATCAATTTTCATCCCTTGTCATGTCCTTTTAGTAAAATGGATTACATTGCCACTTTATTATTTGCCCGTGTATTTACAGATCATTCAACCACACAGCAGCACTGAGTGTCTGAGGTGAAACCAGAATCAAACCACCCCTCCCTGTGAATGTGAGTTTCTCTGGGACACTGCAGCTCACCTGTCACCTGCAGCATGAAGATCGCAGTAGAAGGCTGCTGCCATGGGGAGCTGGACAAGATCTACGAGACCATCGAATACCTGGAGAAGAAGGAAGGCGTGAAGGTGGACCTGCTGCTCTGCTGTGGAGACTTTCAGGCAGTCAGAAATGAGGGAGACATGAAGTGCATGGCAGTACCTGCCAAGTACAGGACAATGCAGACTTTTTACAAGTCAGTGCTTCTTGGTTGTTTTTATGTTTAAGGACATGAGTGAGGGCATTGAACCATCTGAACCCCAAACAGTTTTTGCGATTTTTCCTCTCTGAGTCCAACATGGTTACTCCAAAATTTGTTGATCTCATATCAATAAAATGTACTTTATTTCATTGTGATTAGGATTTATTATCTCATTTTTATCTGAGCCAATTTATTCTTTAAATTAAAGTGCTGATCATTGTTCCGGACATTTATGTAAATTTAACCTTTTAACAGACCACCAACTTGGTCTACAACAGTTTGGCAAAACCATTAATTTGTGACTCAAGGCTGAACTCCAAACATTTTCTGGGTGTTTTCTTGCTCACAATATATCTCAATTTTAAGCTTAGATTTGGTTGTGTTTTCTGTTAAAATGGCATACTACACGTCATTAGTTCAAGGACCATTAGAAATCTGAATATCTGATGATTCTTACTGTTTTTACAGTTGTGGATTAAATAAATGGTTTCATTTTGATTAAAAAAACAACAACAAAAACGCAACTAAAGTGCCTTTTAAACTGGCAGGTGGGCTTAGGGTTCAGAGGGGTAAAGACTTGAGCGGGGGCATCTAAATCTGAGATGTTACTGTCTGTGTTGCAGATACTATTCAGGAGAGAAGAAAGCTCCAATCTTGACTATCTTCATCGGCGGGAACCATGAAGCTTCCAACCACCTGCAGGAACTGCCTTATGGAGGCTGGGTGGCTCCAAACATCTATTATCTGGGTATGAAGCAGCAGACAACGTGTAGATATATATTTATGCATCTACCTGCCTATTGACACTCCACAGGCTTGACTTGATCATGTGTCCGCAGGTTACGCTGGTGTTGTTCGCTATAAAGGGATTCGAATCGGAGGTTTATCTGGAATCTTCAAATCACACGACTACAGAAAAGGTGAGGTTATTTGTTTTTATTTGACTTCGAACATGGTTGGCATGCATCATATTTACGAGAAATGTGTTCACTTTAAGGTCACCATGAATTCCCTCCATACAACCCTGAAACGCTCCGAAGCGTGTACCACATCAGAAACATTGAGGTTTTCAAATTAAAACAGGTAAATATCATCGACTCATCATCAGCTCAGAAGGTCGTTTATCCATGTGTTGAGTCAGAAATATTTGTCTCCACTCAGATCCAGATGCCTGTTGACATTTTCATGAGCCACGACTGGCCTCGTCGGATCTACCACTATGGAAATACGGGTGAACTGTTACGGAAGAAGAAGTTTCTGCGTCAGGAGGTGGAGTCCAACACTCTGGGGAGTCCTGCAGCTGAGGAGCTGCTAGCTCACCTCCAGCCCAACTACTGGTTCTCTGCACATCTGCATGTGAAATTTGCCGCCGTCATGCAGCATCCGGTGAGAGCAGCAGCTTTTCTGCTGCTAAGTAATGCCAATATTAACATCCGAGAATTCTGAAAAGACTCCTGCACACTCTCAAACTTGCAAAATTACATGTTTGCAACGTTTCTGTGCACGAAAACGTGGCAAATTAATGGAATTTTGTTCATGGAGTTTTGTGTGCAAGAGTCTTTTTTTTTTTTTTTTTTAATTTTGGAAATGCTCAGCCCTCTCTGATACACTTACCTGAGTATTAAACAAACATATTACGCATCACAAATCAGTGATCTCTCTCGTCTTTAGCCCAAAGGTAATGCTGCTCCACGTGTCACCAAATTCCTGTCTCTGGATAAATGCCTGCCCTACAGGGAATTCTTACAGGTGGGGCCAAGTTTAGTAAAAATGCATATACAAAGTCTGCATAAAGTTGTAAAGGTTTAATGGTTCTAGGTGCTTGTGTTTCAGATTGTGGATGTTGCAGAGAGACCAGGTTCCTCTGAGGGTCTGGAATATGATCCAGAGTGGCTCGCTATTCTGAAGGCCACCAACAGTCTGCAGAGGACCACCCCTCACCCCTGGAACCCCCCGGAAAACAACGGCCTGCATGAACGGTACGGTACAGCTTAGGTGCAATAATAAGAACTAGACGTAGTTATTTAATATTTTATACTAATTCTATTTAACTATATTTACAGCTTGGACTTGCTGTTAAGGGAATGCTGCAATGACAATGAAGTGTCTATTCTATTCTATTCTATTCTATTCTATTCTATTCTATTCTACACACATGTTTAGACATAAAATTAGAGGACTTGACTGAACACGAATATGTTGACCAACTAAACAAGTCTATAACAGTCCTGCAGGCAGACTACAAAGTAATGTAACAGCTGCACGTTAAGTATCCTAAGTATGTGAGTCCATGAGCCGGCAAAATTTGTGTCCACGCTGCTGCTATGCCACAAAGGCAGCAGAAGAATATGTAGATGACAATCTACTGCATGTTGCGGAACAAAGTTCTTCAAACAGACTACAACGTAATATAAAGCTTTGATTATGCTCTCACAGAACGCTGCAGACACCACGGATGTGTCGTTCTACATTTTCTAAGCATCCAAGCATGTGCAGTGTTGCTTGTAGCATATTTGTGGACACAAATGTTGGACTACGAGTGGACATCAGAGGAGGGTCAGCTCGGACTTTGGGAGATGACAAAATTTATGTCATGCAGACCCTCATGTACTCTGAAGTATGAGGGTTAATGCATTGTTTCTGCAGGATACAGTAGTTAGTGGCAGTGATTACTCATAGCACAGGATATCTGAAGAATTTAGAACTTCCTACTGTATCTAAGCTTTGTCGATGGAAAGCATGCACAAGTCGAAGCTCATCCAAAGTCCGACCGCATGTACTTCAATTCCAACTCTGTTAATGATGAATTATTAAAGTGTGGATGAGGTAGAATATCCCCGTACAGTCTCTTCTCATAACAAACATTTGTTGTCCTGGCACACTTGCAGTGCAAACAGTTCGCGGTCACACATTTCTGGTTGTACATAGACTCTCATGGACATGGGTGAATGATGAAAACTATGCCACATGGGCAGAGAAAGCATGAATTAGGTTATACACTGGTTCAATAACAACAACTGCACATCTGTGGTGTCTGCAGCTGTCGGTGAGCACAGCTACGGTTAAAATGTAGCTGCTTTAACATAAAGCTGGCTTCATGCACCATGTGAAATATTACCTGAGAAGAAGGGGTCTCAAACTTGTATCATGCTATTGCTTGTTCATTTTATCTTCTCTAATAAATACGAGTTCCAAAAAGCAATGTACCAACACACCACAGGATGAAAAGTTCTTGAAATAATAACTAAAATAAGTTTTTTGGTTTCTTTAAAAAACTGAAATTCCCCTCTGATACTCCTGCTGTTAATGGCAAAGATGGTTTCTGTTCACGCTGTCTTCTGATGTGATGTGGACTATCTGTACTTCTCTAGTTAAATATAAAAAGTCTGCATTAAGGTGTAAAGGTTTTATGGTTCTAAGCACTTGTTTCAGTTGGTGGACGTGGCAGAAAAACCAGGTTCCTCTGAGGGTCTGGAATATGATGGGTCCAAATAAACAATGTACCCAAACACCACAGGGGGACATTTCCTGGAAACAATGACGAAAATAAGTTTTGCCATTGCTTAAAAAAATATATAGAATTCCCCGCTGATATTCCTGCTGTTAATACAAAAGATGTTTCTGTTCTGTCTGTACGTGTCAGGTGGGACTTCAGCGCCTCAGAAGCAGTGATGATGCAGGTGGTGGAGGATCTCAGCGGCGAACTCGCCATCCCAGACAACTTCAGTCGGACGGTATCGGCCTACGACCCCAACAAGCCTCAGCCTCACACCGCCCCGAGCTGCAGCACCAACCCTCAGACCACCGAGCTTTGTGCCAAGTTGGGTCTGACCGACATCTACGCCACGGTCGGACAGCGAGGCGACGAGGCCGGGAGGGTTCATGGAGGGGGGGAGGAGGATGAAGATGCACAGAGTGTAGGAAGTGCAGACGAGCCCAGCGAGTATCCGACTGATACTTCAGGACTGTCAAGTTCATTTAACCCCGATGAGATCACGATAGAGGACGAATGGGAGGAAGAGGAGGAGGCGCCTAAAGCAGACGTACGAGCAGGTGAACTCACCACCCCGAGTCGGCTGGTTCTGCCTGAACCCAAATCGGATATTTCACCATCTCCTCTGTCCCGCCTCATGAACCTGCCGCCTCCCTCCCACTCCACGCCGGCAGTAGCTCAGTCCAGAGCAGAAAGGGAAGGACAGTGTGACGCCAGCGAGGATGATGACGTCACGGCTGCTCGAATCCTCAAACGAAGCAGCAACGAGTCTGCAGATGGCGGCAGCAGAGGAACAACACCCAGAATCAAACGAAGGAACCAGGTGATCTATACAGCGACGGAGGATGATGAGGAGTGTGAGGGCTAGAGGAGGCATTTATCAGTGTACAGTTCTCTATTAGTTTGTACTGATTAGAAACTATTGTGTTTGCTGTCTGTCTTTAGACAGCTTCACACATAAAGTTTGTTAAAATGCCCTAAAAACAGACTGTACACAACAAATAAGATTCTTTTTGTAAAGATGGGCAACTACAGCTACAAATACGAATTTTTCTTTGGTCGAAATATGATTTTTATGTATTTTAATCAAACCAAGAAATTTTTTAGACAACAGATTTTTGAGTTCTGTTTAATTTTTGTACACAAATTTTCAAGATTGAAGAGGCTGAAAACGTGAAAAAAATGTTTTTTAAATAAATTAATGACGCAAACAAAAGGAGCTTGTTACATGTGGTTGTTAATGTTTTTCTGTTTCATTCAAAGCTTCAGTTTTATTGAACACTTACAGTCTGCAGGGGCTGAATAAAAAGTTTAGTGTTATTGAGTTCACTTTGAAAAGTGACAAAACTGATGAGAAGAGGAGCGCATCAGTTTTTTAGCTTTTATTTGTTTTAGTTCAGGTGATAGTTTTACTTTTTAATTTGATGCGCTTGTAAAGTTTGGGGAGGCTTTCTGCTGTCATAAAATTGTATATTTTACATCATATATCCTCAAACAAATGCAGAAAAGGTGACGACTGCACGAATGTTTTAATGTTCAAGGAGTACAGCGGTACCAGATACATCATACACAGTTCAGATGAAAAGTTAACGCTGAGTTCAGAGACGTGACCTCCTTGAAGTGCACAGCTCTGTGTCAGTGTGCTGTTTTTACTGAGCATGGAGTTATACTCACAGTGCACCTGCAAACTGGAAGAACATGCAGAACAATCTAAAGCTTTCCTCAGGGCAGTTCAGGTTTTTATTTGACTTCCAGCTTTTTTAGTTGATTCTAGAGATGTTTTTTTTCCCCCTGAAGTGTTCTGAGTCATTTAATATTCAGTCTGAGTACCGATCCAATTCCATTTTCCTGGAAAACACACACTTTAAGTACATAAAAGTTGTTCAAAATCAATCCAGTGTATTCAAAAACTGAACAGTTCTACAAGTATTAGGAAAAAAATGCATATCTGCATCCAAGCTGTTCCTTGTAGGTGTTCAGGAACCTTGCTGTCTGAAAAGCAGTGTGGAGAGGGAAGTCTGTACTGTGAAAACCTGTATTCTCTACCACAGCTATGAATAAAATTACCCTCCAAAATCTTTTTGGCTGGGAAATGTGCTTCATTGCAGCCTTTGAGCAATCAGAGTAAACTCCCTGTGTTCCTTTAAGTTTTTATTTTTAAGTGCAAACTTTGTAAAATACTTTGCAGACATTACAAGTGGCTGTCTTGGTTTTCCAAATCTAAATATTTCCACTCTGCAGATATCCATCCTGCCACCAATTGTGCTTTCCTTCCACGCTCCAGTCCGCTGGGAGCCGATAACGTGCATTTAAGCTGGTTTGCTAACTGCTAAAACAAACCAAAAGAAATATGTATTCGCTCTTCAAAACACTGATTAGTTTAAAACACACACACACACACACCTTGACAGGCAATAAATAAGATTCATCCATCCATCCATCCATTATCTATACACCGCTTAATCCTCACTAAGGTCGCGGGGGGGCTGGAGCCTATCCCAGCCGACTCAGGGTGAAGGCAGGGGACACCCTGGACAGGTCACCAGTCTATCACAGGGCCACACTTAGAGACAGACAACCAAGCACACTCACACCTACGGACAATTTAGAATCACCAATTAACCTCAACATGTTTTTGGACTGTGTGGGAGGAAGCCGGAGAACCAAGAGAGAACCCACGATGCATGGGGAGAACATGCAAACTCCACGCAGAAAGATCCGGTACCCCCACTGGGACGCGAACCAGCAACCTTCTTGCTGCGAGGCAACAGTGCTACCAACTGTGCTACCAACTGCGCCACCCTGCAGCCCAGGAAGATTCATATATCAGTCTAAATTTCCACACATACAATTTTATATATCCATAGTTTATGATCAAATCAGAGACAGCGCATGATCATTGTTATCCAAATTTAGAATTTGTGCGGCTACATCTTTTCTTTTTCCTCGCAAGCTTTCAGGCCCGAGTGTGATTTGAGTTTTAAAAAAGGTTGAATGATGGAGACAGAAACAACAAAACGATTAAACTTGCCTCTGAAATAACTTTTCAGTTAATCTTTTTAGGCTAGGAAGGTCATTTTGAATATTATTCTACTCTGAACAGAGTGTTTTATCAGGAAAAATGAACAAAAGAATTCCGTTTTTAAAACTCTACAGCAACAGACAGGATATTTTAAAGTCCAGCCTCTGTTTACTGATATTGTGATTTCCTTCTCACGTTTCTGAATTCACAATCTGTCCACTCGAACAATTTCTGATGTGTCTGGTATCATGGAAAAAATGAACCTCATTTCTCCATCTCACCTGGACTGAATGAAAGGTATTGTAATCAGTTCAACATTTTTCTTTTTTTGTGTGTGTGTGAGTGCGATTCTGAAAATAAAGCAGAACAAAAGATTCCTGCGGACACGGATGTTTGTTGAAATCAAACAGATTTATAACATTGATTAGAGTCTGTTAAACGATCCATTCCAGGTTCACAAGTGTGCTCTGCTAAAATCAACGTACACTTTCATTAAAATTAAGACAATATGTAACATACAGTGTATTTGACAAGATCTCTTTACATCCATACAAAGAGCCGATACAGTTTAGCCTAATGACAGGAGTTATTGGGTTATGGTACAAGCCGATGTCAGGGAAAAAGGTGTTCCTGCACTTTGAAGCACACACTTTAAAGAAAGCCCCGGACAAGATTCACAGAGAGAAAACTGGGAGTAGGCACTTCTGTTTTTTTTATGTGTTTTCATTAATTCTTACTTTTTCTTCAGCCACCAAGCACACACACACACACACACTCACACACATAACTCTGTTTTATGAGCAAACGAATCCATAAAACCATCTAAGATCACCGACGACTCGACCTCAGGACAGATGAAGGAGACGTTAAACACACGATGGGATTCTACAGGGAGCCGAGGTTTATTACAAACCTCATGTTTTCTTCTTGTCATTCTGCCCTCGTTCACTTATCAAACCGGTGTTGTGCCAGAAAGTTCAGTTATGTCACTATTTACAGCTGCATTTATCAGGTCAGACAGTCACAACGTGCAACACTAATTACTCTGATGATAAAGGCTCTTGGTGAACTTTTTTTTAAAATTGTTCTGACCCAAGAAATTAACATTTATGAGGAATGCTATAGGATTGTTTACGCTGTATGTGTCTGGTTTGTCTGATATCTTGGTTCATATTTGAAAACTAGACTGTAATTAATGTTTGCAAAATGAGTTTAATATATTGAAATAAAGGAATCAGCTGTTTTGCAAACATCCTATGAGCTTTAAAACATGACGTAATGAAGTCAAGTCGTTTTCATGCATTAACCCTCTGAACCCTAAAACCAAACAGCAGCTGTAGAAGGTTATCTTTACAAAAAAAAATATCACAATGACATCAGAAACTGTGAAAACACACAGCACATTCAAATTTTGAACTTTCCTTCAGTCGGTCCTTTAACTAATTATGTGTGATGTGCAGTTCTGTCAGAAAAATTAACAAAATCTAGGCTCAAAAATCGTAATAGCTTTTTTAATTCTACACATCTCAATTTAGGATTCGCTAAAAATAACTAGTTTGCACCACATTCTGTAAAAAAGAAACAAAAATCAATAAAATAAATACAGCATGGTCCTTGGAAAAAGGCTGTAAATGTTTTGTAAAATACCTAATCAAAGAAATTAAAACTTTTGTATCTTTTTTTGTGATATTATAACTGTCTTATATTTCACATAAGACATTTCTGAGTTCTGTCTTTTTCCATTTCTGTCTGTTTCCATAGAGACCCAGGATTTATTTTGCATGGAAAGTGAACCCACAGAAAAAATAAAATAAAATATTCAACAGGAGCAAATAACACCCAGAAGCTCCTTGTGGGTTCAGAGGGTTAATAACATGTCAGTCACAGTGTTGGGGCTGTAATCACTTTCTTGCAGCTGGTAAATGGACTGACCTGTTTGTAATGTCGGGCAAAGAGCAGCTAAGATAATGCAGAGACATGAAGAGATAATATTTTTATGACTGTTGGACTCAGATAAAGGCAGCTGTATATAAACTGGGCAATGCAGATTTAACAATCCCGTGGGCAGCCATCAGTTTTTGGCGCCACGCAGTTCCTCCACGCCCACCTCCAACATAACATCCATGTTTGGGCGATATTTTCACCTCCATTTCCACCATTAAGTCAACCCCATCACTTCCTGTTACCAATCAGAACAAGATATTTAATCTGAAAAGGAACTTAGTAAATCTTGCATTGATACTCTCTTTGGGTTTGAGGGACTCTGCTACAGACGTGAAATGAGCTACAGCTAATGGTTTCATACGTGGCAATACGAGGTGCGATCAAAAAGTTCCAGTACTGTTAATGGTGTGTGTGCACAGAACATGTCGCGATCACGTGCATGCAACATGAGCGAGCAGTTACTGTCACGAGTCAAGAGACTGATCAACATCAGCACCTATATTAAAGGAGTTGTGACTTCACCTGAAGTAGCTCAGACCTTCACATTCAGCAGCTGGATGATCGAATTGTCATGTGGATGATCGTCATGGTGACCAGAGGTGGGTCTGCAGCTACCATCAGGAGAAGAAACAGCAGTTTTCACAGTGGAAGAAGCTGCATGCAGTTTTCTTTGACATTTTCGTGGTTTTGCGCTGTGAGTTCTTCCCCCATAGTCGGAGTGTCAACACAAGAGTTCTACCGTAACGTCCTGAGGCATCTCCCGGAGAACATTCAGCACAAACAACCTAAACTGCAGTGCGATGCTGAAGTTTTTTGGTCACAACAATACAATTTGTCGCACTCTACCCACCCTACTCGCCAGATTTAACTCCCTGCTCTTCTCTTTACTAAAATAAAACTCAAGTTGAAGGGTGGCCGTTTTGACATTCAGCACTCATCACAAATGATGCTCGACATGCTTCTAGAACAGGACTTCAGGGAGCATTACAAGTACTGCAGGAGCACTGGGAGCAGAGTATCACTGCACAAAATTAAACTAGGTACAGTTTTTGATTTTCTACAGGCACAGTTGTAATCTTTCGGTCACACTTCATATTATATTCACACATATTCACGTCTATATTGTTGCCTCCATTTTAGCACGCACACACTGCACCTCAAACTTTCATGAAAATCTGTCAAGCCAAATTTATCAATGAGAAACAATGCAAAACCAGTTTAAATGTTTGCTTCACAAACCAGATTCTACCTGGAGTGCTTGATGTGTTCACGTAACAGGACTTCCAAGGAGCGCTTCTGGTGTTGCAGGAGTGCTGGGAGCAGTGCGTCGCTGCACAAAAACACTACTTCCACGATGACGCTGTCTAAATTTAAATCCGGTATGTTATTTATTTATTTTTATTTTTTAATCTTTATTCGTGCAGTCTGAACTTTTTGATCACACCTCGTATTATAATCACGCACGCCATATCCTGTCTATATTGTTGCCTCCATTTTAGCACTCACACACTGCATCTCAAACTTTCATGAAAATCTGTCAGGCCAAATTTATCAATGAGAAAAAAAAAAAGTAAAACCTGTTTAAATGTTTGCTTCACAAACCCACTCTGAGTTTCTATCCACACTAAAGAAGCATCGCAGCCAGCATCAAGAGAATTTCAAAAGGTGGGCGATAAATATTGGCGTTTGCTGGATAAACTGTGCCATGGCGGGTCGTATCTGGTCAGGCAGGAAAAATAGGGGGTTAAAATCATTCCAGGGGTTCAACATGTGGCATTATTCACAGCAGGATTTGATCGACTTGGGGCTACAAGGAGGCAAAGCAAGCAGGAGAAGGAGAAAGCAGCCTAAGCGATTGGCTTCTCCAGCCACTCGCCGGCGTGTGCTGCTCAGTTTGTGCCTTTTTACGCAATCGGGGCTGAAATGACGCAAGGCAGAGTGAAAACCAAAGAAATTTCACAATTAGTGCTAAATACTACAACAGGCTTACCACTGTCTTCCACATTCTGTATCATCCTCCTCTCAATCTCAGTCTTCACTTTACCTCCACATGCAGAATCTGAGCTGTTGTCAGCAGACACAGGTGTGAAACATCGTGTCTCCATCTCTTTCTTTCTCTATATTCTCTCGTCTGAATTTCTGTCTGCTCAGACAGGAGGATGAATGCAGGGCAGAGGGGCTGCATCAGGCTCACCCCCGTACGTTGGTTGAAGGAGACGAGATGACTGAAGGGCCGTGGTGGTGTGGATGGTGGAGTACAGGTGGGGCTCATGGACGTCTAGTTCCCACCGCAGCAGGCTCGGGTCGAGTGGGCGTCAGGGTCCTGGAGGTTCACTCCCCGATGCCGCGCTGCATGTGTCGGGTTTTGGGTGTCTGTTTTTGGCATCTTTTTTGCTAAATTAAAAAGAAACAGTGATGATATTCAGTCACAGATACCTTAGTATTTAGAGATTAGCACTACCTTCAAAGGTAGCTAACTTCTAAAATGTCACACAAAGTGTTTTTTTTTCAAGTTTCCATAGCGTCCTCTGATTCTATACTTCTAAATGCAAATAAAAATACAGTATGGAAACATGGCTAATGTCTCTGGCCAGCTCGCCCAGGTATGCAGGTCTCCAGAGTACTGATGCATCTGTCAGTAGCTGCATTTCCATATAACTGTCAAGCAAATTTGAAGCGAACTTCAGAAATCGCAAAAAAAAATAAATGAAGAAAATGTGTATATAGGACATGTTGATTGTGATCAACAATGCAGAAGAAGCCAGAAGGAAAACCAGTTGTTTGACAAATGCTTAAAATTAAAAAAAAAAAAAAAAAGACCCTGAAGAAGATGAAGAAGAAGAAACAAAAGTTCATCCATCTACAAAAGAAAAGTGGAGAAAGGTTTTCTGGAATTGTTTTCAATCTGGAAAATTGCAACTATTAAGCAAAAACAACAGTTTAGTCTTTTAGTTAAATGTTCGCTGCGTCTGAGCTTTTCAGAAAGGTGTTTCCATCTCCCATGAATCTCATTTACTTCTTTTTTTTTTAAAGGCAAAAACCATCTCAGGTGAGTTCTTACTGCTGGAGCATCACAATTTCGAATGAAAACATTAAAAAAGCAAAATGTCCCCTTGAAATGTAAATAGGCAGTGGCAAGCCAAGCAGTGAGGAGTAAGAAATGATAATAACATTTAACACTGATTTAAAAAAAAAAAACCCAAACAGCTACCTTTGACTCCAGATCACTCTGATGAAAAACAATATTTATCTGCACTTTTATTCACAGTGAAAAACTTTAGGTGCTCCTATAAAAAAAAAAGTTTGTGACACCAGTGCATCCAGTGCAAAAAGTTCATTTGGAGCCATGATTTTCTGATACTGCAAAGAAAAAAACCTAAAAGTCTTGCATCCAAAACTGAGGAAACATGCACCAAAATTGTGCTGCAAATTAATCAAAAATAATTCTCCTATTAATTCATACAGCATAAGAACAATAATGGGAAATCCAAACATATTTTTTTTCCAGGTGGAAACGCCTCGATGTCGGGGAATCCTGTACAAAGGAGTAGATCTCTTCTGGAGTAAAAATCTAACAGTTATTCAAATGTAAAAGAAGCGACACTCACCAATGGCCAGGAAGAGCTCATTGACGTTCATGGCGGTCTTGGCAGAAGTCTCCATAAAGAGCAGGCCGGTGTCTTCAGCGTACGTCTGGGCTTCCTTTACCAAACAGCACACAAACACATACAAACACACATCATTCTGAGGAACTGCAGAGACTCCAGTGGTGAAAATCCTGCATGTCAGCAGCTTCAGAAACACAAACCAGGCTGTGGAACACATGATTTCATATTTTTTTTCCTCATTCTGACGTTTGATTTCAACATTAGCTGAAGCTCTGAACTTCTGTCTGCAGGATTTTAGGCTACAAAGCTGCCACATGACCAGCTGATTGCACAACTGCGTGAATAAACAGGTTTACAATAAATGAAGATGTTTGCAAAATTCTCAAGACAAGCAAGGGCCAGAGGGGTTTACAGTGGAGCAGGTTTGACATATCCAGGTTTTCTTTATGTAAGCGGCTCCACAAATCCCAGATAATGGGGATTATAATGGTGACAACTAGCTTTCTTATTCACAATAAATGTTCTTATTCTTGCTAACCAGACTTCTTTCATTAGATTCTGACTGCGCTCACAAAAAGAAGACATTCAACGTATAATTTAACTCTTTTTTTGCACAAAATGGACCAATGACATCATCTGATTTAGTCAAGAGGAACAGGTTGATATAATGCAAAGATATGCATAATATAAACATTCGTTAAAAGCAACACTGCTTCTGCAAATGATGCAAGAGATGCTAGAAAATTGACAATAGTGTAAATTATTAGAATTATTTGACCACTCAGTGACTCATAATGCAGCTTCATATTAGAGCTCTGAAACTTTCAAAAATTATAGTGCAAATGACTCCAATTTTTGGCCAAATCTAAGTGAATTTATTGGTACTACCTGAATATTCTGAGTGTACTACTAGCTGCAGTGTAAAAAAGATTTGGGTGTAAATCAGGACCAAACATAAAAACATATATTTTTCTGCATCACCAACTGATTTCATGCAAGTCCTCAGTTTGCCTGCTGGAACTGCAAAGCTTCATTTGGTGGTATTAGTAACAGGTTTGCAGATATAACCATAGCTGCTAACCCTCAGCTGTGATTTAGCGAACAAAGGGGAGTTACCTCGTATTCTACCAGTCTCTTCTCTGCCAGGTCGGCCTTGTTTCCAGCCAGGGCGATAACAATGTTAGGACTGGCCTGCCTCTGCAGCTCCTTCACCCAGGCCTTGGCTCTCTCAAACGTCTCCTGCACAAACACAGAGCCAAGGTCAGTTAAACCAGCAGCACACATGTAAACACCAGGAACAACGCTGAGCATGAATAATGCATCGATATATGTCATCAGCTAGGAGACAAACTGTTCACCTTCTGAGCTGATGTCAGTATTAAAGCTGCAACTAGTGACTATTTTTAATTTTCAGCTAATCTTTCATTTATTTTCTGGATTCATTGTATAGTCTTTAAAATGTCAGAAAATGCTGATCAGTGTTTACCAGTGTCCAAGATGACAGATGTCTATTCAGTTTACTGTCACAGACAGACAAAGAAATCAGGAAATATCTAAATTTAAAAGGCTGTAATCACAGAATTTAGACTTTCATACTTAAAAAAAGACCTAAACAGTTGACTCACTTATTAAAATAGTTGGTGATTTATTTAATAGCTGACAGCTGATGGTTAAATTAATCACTGCAAGTCTAAGAAGTATAAAAATGGCTAGCACAGTGCTATACTTTGAATATTAACATGAGGTTGCCTGGAATATTAGTCATCTACATCTTTCTGTTTATTTAACTGTTGGCAACAAACCAGCAATAATGGTTCAATAATGTTTCCCCATGAAAGTTCTTAAAAGTTATTGTAGTGTCTTTTTTTTAAATTCCCAAAATATTATTTATCAAAGTATGACAATGTTCTCTTAAGACATTGTCAAAATGTTTAGTGATTTATTACATAAAACCGAATGTTGCATTAAGAGCATCCTTCATTTTTTATCATGTAACATTGTGGAACAGTGTTTGAATATTTTACAGAAGAACGTTCTATAATGAGTTACCTCTAAACAGAATACTGCAGCTAAAACTTTTGTCAATATGTCATATTGCAGGAACGTTTTATTAAAGTACAACATCTTGAAAACATTTTTGGGTGTTGCTTTGAGAGCATTCCTTTTTTGTTATCATGCAAAAACTTCTGAATGCAGCAGGTAAAATGGTATGTCAACAAATCTCCTTGGATGGTTCTTTGAATATTACATCAAAGCTTGTGGGAATGTTCCCTGCTAGCTGTCAGTATCGCTCTGACCCACATGTACGAGTATGTAATGAATAATTTTTGCTGTACCGGTTTGGTGATGTCGAAGACGACGATGGCAGCCTGAGCTCCGCGGTAGTACATCGGAGCCAGGCTGTGGTATCGCTCCTGTCCTGCAGTGTCCCAGATCTCAAACTTCACTGTGGTGTCGTCGAGACACACCGACTGAGCCAGGAAGGCAGCTGGACAGAAATGTGGGAAAACACAGGTCACCAGGTGGTCTTGAAACCTTCCATCACTCAGTTTCTTGCTTATTTTAACCCTCTGAACCCCAAAACCGACTGGCAGGATTCAAAAGCATGTTATCTTTGAAAAAAGGGCCAAAATTAAACCATATGTTAGTGTCAGAAACTGTAAAAACAGCAAGAATATTCAGATTTTCAGAAGAAACAACTAAAAATGTATGTCATAACAATTGTAAAATCTAAGCTTAAACTTCACATTTATTTAATCAGAACCTTTTTAAACAGTATGTCCTGTTTAAAAAATTACCGACAATAAACCTCAAATTCTATTTTAATCTGAAAAT